AGTTTTTTGAAGGGAAATATTATTTTCAACTAGATTCTTGTTGGACTGACCACATTGAATGGAAGAAAGGTCATGGTTTCTTTAATCAATTCCAATTCATCGGTTATCCTAAAATGCTGCTTTAATCCGGACTAAACTGCTCTCTTTACCATCGCATCAGCAACGCCAGTAAAATTTTAATTCCGTCAGTAAGAGTTACGTAGCAAGCACGCTACTTAAAAAAATATAAGTAACATATTTATTGATTGGCAAAATAACGTTGGGCTTTCGATACAGAATCGCCCACAAAATTATGCTAAATTATAAAAACTTTTCTTGATTAATTCTGGCGTGACTTTTATTTCGTGTGAGAAGGCGAGTCTAAGGGATTCGTAGATTGTCCACACCGGGTTCCTTGGACTTTGTCTGTTAACTTGTGCGAAGAAGATCTCGGCTCACCGTCTTGCAACCCCGATGACTCCGTGCTGAGCTTTCGTCCGTCATGTGACGGACATGAAATCACGAAAAAACACGAAGCCGAGCTGAGGTCCTACTTACTTCTTATACCTCACTTTGCCACCTTAATGAAGCATTTCATGATTGGGTTGGCTGACTTGGGCTTTTCCAACAATTCAGGAAGCGGAGCGGATGTGTTCACAACTTTTGTGTATGTAAATAGACGAGAGTATGATTCAGTTGGCATGTGTCTTGCGACAGCTCCGTGGATGCATGTTTGCGTGTGTATGCAGCAACAACGAGTTGGTTGGCAATTTCAAGTGGGAAAACGAGCTCCTGTTTAGTTTAGTCTTCTCCTCTGACTCGGTGGCTCTTCATGTTCTCTTTCCTTCTTTCCCTTTCGCCCTAATTCCTTTTAGCAGCTGGAGAAAGTTCTTATTTACTGTTGAGCTTACTTACATTTTGAGTGAAAATGTTGCGTGAAGAGATTCGAAGGTCGCTTCCACCAGAAGACGACGGCCGATTCCTTCGATTTCGATAAAAAGGTGCTAAGCTTTCGTCCGTCATATAACACACATCCTCAGAGTGAGGTATAATCGTCACAACAAAATTCAAGCTAAAGATAAGTTTTCCTGGCTCTTTAGCTTGAATTTGGTTGTGACGATGATACCTCGCTCCGATGTTATGTGTTATATGACGGACGAAAGCTTAGCACCTTTTTATCGAAATCGAAGGAATCCGCCGTCGTCTTCTGGTGGAAGCGACCTTCGAATCTCTTCACGCAACACTTCCACTCGAAATGGAAGTAAACTCAACAATTATGAAACAAGAGATTCCTCTAAACCCGAACTTTTCTTCACATATATTCTTATCTACATTCCTACATTCGTTCCTTTTATTCAGGATGCTCTTTCAATCGACTCCCTGATCTTCCGCTTAGTTGTGAAGTCCCATAACCGGCAAAACGTTGGGATTTCGACCACTTCATCTGCTATCCTGTGTCGATCACATGTTCAGCCACTTCTAATTGCGGTTCTGTCTTCTGATGACCTCTTCTGTATGGGTCGACATGTGACCCCCACATAAACACTACCACATTAGCACAAAACCTTATAACAACCTGATCTGCAGAGGGATTCGGAAAATTCTCTTAAAGACGGCAGGATCAAGGAAAGCGTTATTGTTTCTTTATACATAGTCATGCCTATCCATTTCCTAAATATTTTGGAATAAATGGTCTAATCCCTTGTTTTGACCAAAATAATGGTCTTCCTTGAACCTATTTCTAGATATTTTTAAATTGCTAATAATTAATCCTAACGGATAATTGTTCTCAACTAAGATTTTTCTCAGCCTTTCTACCTCCTGCTCCTGATGATTTACGTCCGCTAGACGTAAATTCCTTATTATCTTTGAATGCATTACTCCTACTTTAACACCATAAGTATGATTCGATAAGAAATTAAGAAGGAAGCCAGCATTGTGGGTTTCATATATACATCTCCCTTCTTTAATAACTAAGACATCTAAAAAAGGGTAACTTACTATCCTTTCTAACTCCATACAGAATTAAGTCGTCTTATCTACTCTATTCATTCAATGAAGGAAGTCATCCAAACACTCTTTGCCATGCTGCCAGATAGCAAAGTAATCATTCCGGCATGTGAAGAATAGTTTCGGAACTGGGAGTTACTCTGGAAGAAGCCGGACTTCCAATCGAGCCATTAAGCTATTAGCTAAAACTGGAAACAAAACAGGATCCCACGGTTAAACCACCGGTTCTCTAGTACAATTTATCCTTAAAGATAAAATATATACTATTCATTATTAAGTTCGTCAATTGCATGATTGACTCCTTGCTCATCCTATTTCCTGATATTATCTCTGGGTGTAAATCTAAGGTTAATCCTAATGCCTGTATCGCCCCACTTATCGGTACATTCGTGTACATCAATACTACATCAAAACTTACTAACAAATCTTCTTGTTCTATTGTTTACTCGTCTATTAGCTCTATAAAGTCATAAAAATTCTTTATTGAAAATTTCCCAAAACCTGAGATCAACTTTATTTGACCACAAAGGTATCGTGAAGTTTTATGCAATACACCAGCCTTATTATTAACAATAATCCTAGATGGGAACCCCTCTTTGTAGATCTCGGACAGACCGTATGCATTAGGAGGTCTTGCGTCATGTTGGAGAAGTACATTCATTTTCTATTTCTCCAATTCTCCAATATTAACGTACTGTTGTAGGCTAAAGCCAGCATCGTCTTTTTTATATAATAGGTCCTATCCATCACTACTACTCAAAGCTACTTGCTCGTGATGTTTAAGCTTCTTTGTGATATTAATAGCAGATCTATTCTTATTTTGTGGTTCTACATGTTCATCAACTAGAGAAATAAGCTGTATTTAAAACTCACCTTAAGTTTCTTCTGCTAGTCGGTCAGTAAGGTTAATAAACTCTACTAAAATCTCATCACTGAAGCTCTTACTATTTGGCAAAGCATAATTAAGACCTCCATATAGAACCTCTTAAGTGGCAATGTGGCCGAGTGGTTACCGCGTAAAGCTCACATGCTGTTCTGTCACGGTTAGACTTCCGCTGTGGGTGTTGATAAGACCCAGACGAGGCGAGGTCGAAACGGCAGTCTACTTCAGCCTGGATGAAAACAACTTTGGGGAAAGAAAGGTTATGTGAAATTCATTGGAAACGTCAGCTCTACTCATATCAATGTGAAAAATTCTAGTATCAGTCTTTCATCACCTTAAATCAAATAGGGTGAATGCGTCTCATATAACTGATTTACTGGTAGTCTCGAAACTCTACTTGCATACGAAAACTTGCCTTAGTCTGGTTTTAGTTTGGATAAAATTAAGTATTCTAGAAATGTTTGAAAAAGTGTTTTCTTAAACAAATCATGAGATACTTTTATAAGATCCCTCTTAGTTCTATTTGGCAAATTAGTTCCATCGAAAATACAAAACTTAGGGATACTGCTACGCAAAGAACATACTTTCAAAAATTTAGCCATTAGTTTCTTGGTTCTTTCGTAAACGGATGAGTTTCTAAAAGTTTGGTCGCCATACGTACTTCAGAGATATGAAAAGTAGCTGGGTTTTGAAGAATCATTTAATAGATCGATACTGGCTTACCCTTCATTTCGTTTTAGAAGGCGGGTTGAAGGAATTAGTCGATTGACCGTACCGGATACCGCGGGAGGGTTGCCTTGGAATATTGTCTATTGAATTGTGAGAAGAAGACCACGGCTCACCATCTTATGACGCCAATAACCCTGTACTAAGCTTTCGTCATTCAGGTGACGAACATCGTCAGAGCCAGAAACCATCATTCACGATAGATTCACCAAAAAACACTAAACTGAGATCCTACTTACTTCTTGTACCTCAATTTGCGATCTTAATGAGACATTCCATGAAAGGTAGGCCAGTATCAATATATTAAGGAATTCTTCGAAACCCAGCTCCTCTTTATATTTCCTTGATTGAATTTGATAATTTTCATAAGATATAAAATATAATTTATGATTTTTTATCCAACGCAAGTTATTGGAACATTGCAGGGGTTGCAGATGATATGAGTCGTGGAAAGATTTTTCAGTACAGTTTGGATGAAAAAGTCCAAAGTGGGTACATAGCAAAAAGAAATTCAGTGCGATAATACCCGTTTTCTTCAATTCTTTGTTAAGAGTGACTATCAGTCCAACCCATCGAAATAGGTAGATCAAAATTATCAGACGCCAGATCGTTTTGAAAAACGGCTGACTTACTTTCAAGATCTTAGAATGACCCATATTCAAGATTATAATTCATGTAGAGCGCAAGGAAGCAATTGATGTTATTTTTGTCATTTATACTAATATCAAACGATTTATAAACTTTCAAAAACTGTGTAAATCTTGCTTATTATCTTTATTCACCCCATATGAATGCGGCATGCCTAACCCAGTTTAAGAAAAATAAATCGGAAGGCGTAGAAGACTGATGCTGTTCCAATCATAGCTTACTCTGACTGTACCAGGAAAATAAGACTTTTAGGGAAAAGGTAACGAAAATGTGGGAGAATTTACGTCTGAAAGGTAAAGAATAGTACATTTGATTTTTGTTAAAGATTAATTTTAGTAGTATATTTTCCATCCAGTTTACATATTGAAAAAAATTACCACTAGCTGACTAGATATAGTACGAAATCACCGACTTGTGCCTTATTCATAAAGCAAACTGAAACCATGACATCTATTCAAATAAAGGCGATATGCCCCATTACCTGCTTCAAGCGTCTGATAGCACTTATACTCTCGCCTTACCGAGCAGACCCTCAATTATGACAAATTTAATTAACACTTTGGCTTCATTTGCTCAGTTTTGCCTCTTGACCAAGTAAATCACTTCACCAAGCCTCTACTTGACGGACCACCTTCATGAGCAAGCTCGTGTACTTTGAGCTGACTATCTCAGATCTCTACGGCATCTCTTGAGTGCAGTTTGGGTCCAATTAGCTTCTCACCCTTATCCATAATGCCAAATATATGACTTTCCTAGTTCTTAGTTCTTAGTTTTCCAACTCTTGAATGTCACAGCATTTTACTTGGGTTGACTAGACTGATTTTTGCTCTTGATTTTCGATTTTTCCTCGAGGGCCACCTGCTTGCGATTATCTAATTTCTTGTTTGGACTACTCACTTGTTCTAGTAGCTTCGATTGTGTTTATATGGTTACTTGCTGACTCCCTTCGCCTAAGCAGTGATCAAAGTCTTTGCTAATTCTGTCTCCATCCAGATTACTTTAGGTCGTGATGTCAATGAACTTGTAAATATTAAGTTTCCTTGTATCTTCTGCATTCTCCCCTCTAACCGGTTTCCGTCTTACCGGTAAAATACGTTCTGCTATTTCGAATCTTGCCTTATCTATGTTTATGTAGAGCCTTTGGTGTTTCTTAATTCGTGAGATGATCTTTCTTCTTGTTTCACTAATATAGTTCTGCTTGTAGTAGCTGCATGTTTCCCAGTTCGTCTACCTTCTCCTGTAACGTCGGAAAGCAAATAAAGTGATGTATCTACGCACTACATTTACTATATATTTGTCGCAGTCTATAAATCAGTTCACAGGAGGACAGGCACATTGAATTTTGGTCGTCCATCTTAATGCTGATGTTATTCTCATAATATCCATGTTGTTATCTATTTTTAGAAACCAGTATATTTATTTGTATGATTTTTCCAGGGCATCTGTTGCTTAAGCAAATTTGAGTCAGCCTTTAAATTCGTCTTCCCAGAAACCCATGTCCATTAGTCTTAAGCTTCTGATGATCAAGCTTATCATTATCCTGATATTCAGACTATATTTGTGGTAAGACTGGTTAGGGCATCCCAATTAGTTTTATTAGTAAAAGCAATTTATTTATACTGTTATTTTCATCTCCTACAATTTATGGAGAAGATTAATCACGATGAAAGTGGAGAGGATTCTGAGGAGTCGTCATAAAATACATTTTGTGTTCTTTAGCTAATGCAACGAATGCCTATGGTTTCCTGCGCATAAAAGCAAATTTTACTTTCGATAAATGCTAACATTTAAATATCCTTAGAGGTTGAACTCAGAATAATAGTGAAGAATGATTGGTGTCTTTAAAATAGGAATGAGGTTTTGAATGTGAGTAAAAGTATTGCCTAATTAATCTCCGTAAAATTGAGCTACTAAAATAAATAAATAAATCTAACAGAAAGAATTAAATATGTAGTAGAGCTAAAAATTTGATACAACGTTGTATATATTGGCTCAAATAATACGATTTTAATCGTTGGGGGGACTTTCATTTCGTTCTAAAGTGCAGGAAGAAGAGATTCGTTGGTCGATCTCACCAGAAGAAAACGAATGAATATCGTTGTACTGCAGCCGTTTTGCTTTTTATGCTGTACATGTTGACGCAGTCCACGAGATTTCGTCGCTCTTTTAGATTGAAAACTGGCTGAGAGTTCGTCCATCATATGATGAACATCATAAGAGCTGGGTGACATTCTTGTAAGAGTCTCACGTTAACACTAGGCCAAGAAGACTATTC